GGGATGCAGCTTATTCTTTGGGTAGAGAAAGATGCAACATAACTCTATGTAATCCTCTTAATGTGTAACTGTTAGTGATGATTTCATCCTCTCAACTGCCCACTTCCATCAATGTTATTACTTTGAGATCCTTGGGAACAGGGTCGGGGGTCGACATGGGGTACAGGGTTGGGACGGGGGGGTCACACTACTTTTCCTATTTCTATCTCTTATTCCACCCATTGTCACTATACTGTATTGTACATGTTGTGGATGTAAAACAATTAAAATAAAAACATTTGATCGCAAAAAAGAATACTTGTTCCTGAAAAAGTGACCTGACGTCACTGAGAATAGGATGAAATTCTGGTGCAATAGCAGCAAAGTGACAAGCAATCAAAGACTACAGATTGAGACAAAAATAAAATATAAAAATATTAACATAACATACAATTAAATGAAAAGAAACAACATAAAAATGTTTTGATACTATTATAAATTTCTATTTTGTAATATTGTGATACTATTATTAATTTATCATTAAGGAGTCCATTATTTGTAGTGTACTCCAATCCCAAGGAATGTGCAGTTAATTAGGATAATTTGTACAAAATTGTGCATGTATATTTGATACAGGAAAAAAACTAACGATTTACAATAAGTGACAATAAAACTGCAAATACCTGCAGGGACATAAACACTGAGTTTGTTGGGAGCAGTGATGGTTGTAGAGTCTAACAGCAGCTGGGAGGAAGGATCTGCGGTAGTGCCACTTTGTGCATTTAGGATGCAGCAGTCATTCTAGCACAGAACTGATTTCACAGCTTCCTCTCAGCTTCAGATGAGCTGCTGCTCCAAGATGGCTGATGCTACAGATTTCAAATTTTCAGCAGCGCCCCCTGCAGTCTAGAAGACCTCAGGCTGCTCTGACCCGTCCTGTAGAGTATTTTAAAGTTTATTTGATAGAAAATCACAAAGGAAATCAAAATCTAAAACAGTTTAAGCTTAAATCTTAAATGAGTCCATGTTAAAATCAGGATATGAACAAAGACAGCAGAGGAACAAAAGAGCTGAAACATTCAAATCATTTCTGTAGGACGGATTAAATTTGCTTTCTCAAAGCAGTCGTTACTCATCCTGTCACATCCAGAGGAGTTTATGTATCGGTAATTATTCTTCAGTCATGCAATCAGTGAATAGCAGAGGATTGTCTGTCATCAGAGCCTCACTGATGACGAAGCTTTGACTGTCTGCTGCGACGCCCCGAACATCAACACTGTAAAACCTGAAAAACATTTCTGTGTTTTCTTTCTTAATTAATTAGAAATAAACAAGACTTTAACCTACAGTTATTTCATTTCCCAGTTCATACCTTCTACACTCCATATTTACATAAAAATAAGGAAAATCAAGGCATTTTTTTCTAGTTTGTGTTACAAACTTATCAGATCCATAATAATTACAGATAAAACATGTTTGACTGCAAAAATGACAAATCTACATTATTATCTTTGCAGATGGGAACTCAGAACAGCAGCTGATTTATTTTTCAATTTCAGGGCTTTTTGGTGATTTTGCTGCGACCATAACCATGTCTGGTTATGAACCAGACATTTTGGTTCCTCCATCAATCCCTGAATTTAACAAATATCATAGATCTGGAATTTTACAGGGGCAGTTTTATGTAAAATCAACTTTTTTGAGATCTCCATCGTGTTATAATGTTTTTCTCTCATCAAAAACACACCTGGAGTTGCTTTGATTCTCTCATGCATGTTAGAAAAATCCTTTAATCTCCATGGGAACCAGTTAGCTACTAAACGCCTGAGTGGCCGTAGCCCCGCCTCCGAGGCGCAGCTCCTCCTCATAGAGCGTTCCTCCATGTTTGCACTGAAACACTGTCAGCTGTTAACAGACGGCCATGAAGCATATTCAGTTCAAAACAACAAGCTGGACGCAAAACGAGAAACTCGGTTAACAGAATAATAACAAGAAATGCAGTGGAGTAAAAAACAGGATTTTATTGTTAATGGAGTAAAATAATAAGGTCTTTAAAAACAGCTGGTCAGAAACTGAACTAAATACAGCATAGAGTAAATGTATTTTACTGCCATCCTGTCAGGAAGTCGACCGTTTGATTCTCGTTTTCCCAGGAAAGTTTCAGGAACTTCCAGGATTCTCACATCAAAGTTTGATCAAACTCATGTTTTCATATCAAATTATTTATGTTTTATCAAAAAGATCATAAACATTTCTTTAAAAGTTGACAGCGCTGAATATCAGATTTTGGTATAAAACATGTGAAGAACCAGACGGAGGGTTTCAGTGTTTATGGGGGCCGATACCATAGCAACGCCGAGTTCATGCAGGCTTGCTTATTTGTTTGTTACAGCAGACAGAGACACGATAAATACACACCTTACCCTGCAGCAAAACCTGCACCTCACAGCCAATCAGAGAGCAGAGCCACCTGAAAGGATCATCATCATCCTCATCAGGGTGGAGCAGCTGCGTCCATAAAAACATCCAGCCTGAATCCGCCTGTCTGGCGGTGTGATGATGATGATGATGATCGGATCGAACCGGGAACCGAACCGGCCGGTTCTAAAGACTGGACCCGGTTCGAGTTTCTGGGCCTCTTGTCATTCCTGAGCGGGTGACTCAGAGTCTCCCTTCTTCACCTGACAGCAATTATCTCCGGTGGTTTACCTGCAGTCAAAGAACAGGGCGTCACTCACCCTGACTCTGGGCTGCAGTCCAACCGGTGGGACGGGTCGCACCGAACCGCGCCCGATTCCCCGGCGGGGCGTCGCCACCAGGTATAAGAGGCTGAGCTGACAGAGGCAGCAGCACACCGATCACTCATCACTTCCTGACCAATACCCACTGATCAGCCTGCAGCAGCCATGGAATTCTTCAAAAAGGCCGTCGGAGACAACCCAGAGCTCGCCAAAGTTGCCGGGCAGAAAGCGGGTGAGTCTCAAAACTCACTTTATTTTATTTCAAATAAGTTTTTGTGTCTTCATTAGTTTTATGCTTACGGTTGATTTGATCAGGTTAAAAACTGATTAATGTTTTTAGGATTGAATATTTATATTTACAGTCAATAAAAATGGAGGAAAAAAAGACAGAAATAAATTTCTGTTTCACATCAGTAAAATCTGCAGCGTTACTCTTCATCCGCTTTGCTTCGTCATCCCTCCAAACATCAGGAAATGATTCCTGTGTCACAACAGAAACCAACATGAAGTTTGATATTAAAGCTGCAGGGGGCGCTGTGGTGGCGCAGGGGCAAAGCATAACCCACGTATTGAGGCCGTAGTCCTCATGCCGTTGGTCGCAGGTTCGATTCCCGGCCCTTGCCGCATTTCCTCCCCCTCTCTCACAACCCCTCCTCCTGCTGAACTACCCTCAAATAAAGGCCAACAAAAAACCTTTAAAAAAAAGATATTAAAGCTGCAAGTTAAATAACTAATGGAGTTTATTAAACAAAATAAATGATTCCTTAACGTGTATTTAGAGGAGCTGCTTTAGGAAACTTTTTGTTTCAGATGTTTCATTCCAGAACTTTCTGGATTTGAGATCTGAGTTGCTTTGACCTTGAAGCTTCTTGTCAATGACAAACCTCAAACTACAAGGTCAAAGGTCAAAGCTGCATCTGGTCTGATATTTTAATGGTTCTGACCAAACTGCCCTTTGTTCCTCAGTGTCTGAGCTAAATGAAGGAGAACGCTGACAGAACCGGGTCGGTTTGGTTCTGACCAGAGCTGAAACGTCTTTTAGTTTTAGTCTTTGGACGGATACACTTCTTAGTTTCTAGTAAAAGAAGTGAGTCAATAAACATTATTAGTATCAGTCTTTACTCACTGGATGATTAGTGGCAACAGTAGAAATAATTATTCCAGAAAAGTCAAACATAATTTATAATTTGCTCTTTGTTTCCCAGAAGCCTGAACTAATTCCTTAAATTTAACAGACAGGAAGTCAGGAGATCCTAACAGTTAAACCACATCAATAAAACATTTATGAAATGATCACAAAAAAACAAAGAAAACCTAAATAACAAAAGTTTTCTCTTCACATTATTTATTTATTGTTTATTTATTAACATGGTTTGGTCTTTAAATTCACTAATTCCACCATAATAATGATTCAAACTCAACAAGAAAACCAGAATATTCCTCTGAAA